AGGTGTCGCTGACGACGGCGAAGAGAAGAATGGCCACGGTGTTGCTATGTCTAGGCATAAGCATAATAACACGGTGAATAGTTCGAGTTTTGTGTTTTTTGAAATTGTTGGTAGTGGTTGTGTTGATGGTGTGATATCGGTGGTGTTGGTGGCGGAGGTTGGTGTTTGTTGAAGGTGTTGGTGGAACTGATGGTGATGGTGATTGTTGCTGTGGATTATGAGGTGAAGGTAAACTTGAGGTAAAAGTGGTAGTGGTGGAAGTGAGTGGTCGTTGATTGTGGTATTGATCTTTGGTGTGTACAGATTTGTTTGTGGTGACCCTCTATGACCAATTATGTGTTTATTGTGACCGGGTGTGACTAATTTTGTCTTCATTGTGACTGTTTGTGATTAGATTAACAGTAATACATATTAGACTAATTTGATCACGAACAATCGCACTGAATACAAATTTGGTCAAAATTAATTATACATAACACATGTCAATGTCTTGGTTACATACAGTCACAAATTAGACAGGCTTGGTCGCAAACGGTTTGGTCACATACAGTAAATCTAGTCACATATAACACATTTAGTCACAAATGTCAGTCAACTACAATGCAACACTACTGCCACCACACAGTACTGAAAACATCGCCCCCACCCCTAAACAAATAAACTCCAATACACTTTTATCACCTGCAATGCATCATTATCATCACCACGCAGATCTATTTTCTTCAATGAAGGTCATAATATATAATACATGTTTCAAAATGAAAAAAAAATATGTGTAATAAATTATTAGGTTGATATGAATCAGATTGACATATATCTTTATTTGCTCCATTTAATTAATGGATTATCAAATTTCGATCTTGATCGAGTTATCAGATTGTGATCCTAAATCCATCTCCCATTAATTTTCATTCGATGTAAATACAAATCTATTTTGGCTAATTAGATTTATTATTATACAATTAGTCTCGACACTTTAAGAACTAACAATCTATATATATTGAAATAATTTGTTTGTCAAATTGAAATCGTTTAAGCTAATAATGAAGTGAATTTTAAGTTAAATTTAAAAACTGAATAAATAAAAAGATTGAGGTGAAAATTTCTATTTAATTTTGTTGGGATCAAAATCAAATTAAAATTGAAAGTAAACATGCAAAACATTTGGAAAATAAATTTTTTGAGCAGTTCAACATAACTGTTGGAATCCCAAATTGAAAGTCTCGCAATGTTTTGAAGAAACGAAAAACTGTCACCAGCTCATGGATTAACGGTTTAACCGGTTGGTTTAGTATTTTTTAGAAATTTTGTTAAATTCGATTAACATATAATTGGCCCGATTTTCGGTCCGATTCCCAATTTTACCGATCAAATTGGACGGCTGGACCTATTTAATAACATTACAAAAAATAATCTCAATCCTCGTGCACATCTACATTTTAAGTGCACAACCATATTTTAAGTGACAATTCCAGTTGGCATTTCCTCCTGCGTTAAATAATCCAAATCCGTGTGCACATCTATCTTGTAAGGGATAATTGCAGTTGACATTGTTTCTTTTGCTACCACGGTATACATTTTGAAATCACAAGATAATTTAGATTATATTTAATAAATGTTAAGCCTTTTGTTACTCATATAAATAATCGTAAAATAAATTCGATGTGGCAAGCGGACGGGCGCACAGGTGGCATAACAAACAGGCAATTTGACCCTGTGCCGAAGCGATCCCAATCCAAACGCTCTCATCCGACCCCCGTTGGCAAAGGCAACGGGGATCCTCTGACGAGGCGGTGAGTCAACCAACAACAGACTTAATGAAATGATTGACAAGATAACACGCTGCTAGTGCCATCTCTACACACCTGCACAGTCAAATCCTATGTTAAGGAAAAAGATAAGGGGATCTAAGCATTGATGGCTTGATTGATTGATTGACTCTAATAAGAACTATTAGATCTTATACCATCGGACGGACCCCATTCACTCAAAATGAGATATAAAAAATCTACACTCCATACGTTAGGGCGACAATGCAAGTTCGTACATCCAAAGTAAATCTTGATTCTCTCTACTACACTCAACGGTCGACCCTCTTTTTTATGCATCAAGCAATTATAACAACCTCCTATAAAATGCTGTGGATCATCCTCTACATTGATTCATCAATATAGCTAGTGGTTGGATTCGAGTATATTGCGATTCGATCTACAAGGACTTGAATCTCTAATTTTCTGTTGGCCACTTCATAGGACCATTTTTTGGAGTCAATAGATTGGCGCCGTCTATGGGAATCTTTGATACCATAGCCACGTACATCCTAGTGGTAAAAGCNNNGTAAAAGCTGTGGGTGAAAAGCCTTAAAGAAAGGCTTTGGTCCTTGAGCAAAGAACCACCTTAAGAAAGTGATACATGAAGCTCAATGAGTTCAAGTCATCAAGGAACACATGGGGGAATATCCGGCAGGATGCCTCTGAAGAGGAGGTTCTCCGCACGAATGTGAACATACGTCGCCTCCACCATCACCATAGAAGAGGTGGCACAATTGCACGCCTGGCACAGGAAGTTAGAGAGATGGCCGCCAATATGAGAAATATGGCCCAACAAACTGCTTCCATGCAGCAACTGCTAATGCAAATGCAGCAGCAAGCTGGGCCCAAGTACCTCAGGACAGGACTTTTCGCTAGGAAGGAGAAAAAATGATACAACAATGTACCCACAAATGTACGGGACGAACGACCCAATGGAAAGAGAGGTAGAAGTTGACGTC